TTATATTATTGGCTGTTTAAGTCTATTTAATTTTACATTATTTATACAGTTTAAAGTACTTTTTTAAAAAATATAACTGCAAATAAAAAAATAAAAGTATGTAGAAAGTTTTAATTGGGTTGTAGGACTCCACTATTGAAATAATCGAAATCCTTTTCGTTTTAGTGATAATAAACCTAGTTCTATCTATTTTTAAGTCGTTATTATGCTAACTTCTTTAAGACAAAAAGTACATTGATTATTTTCAATAGTGGAGTTCTACAACCCTAATAAAATTTCTATATACTTTTTTTTTATTTATTCTTTGTCGTTTTAAAAAGTATTTTAAACTGTATAAATAATATAAAATTAAACAGCAGGGAATATGCTTTATACGCATATATTCTTAAGATTGCAGCAGGTCCCTATCGTACGTGCGGTCAATTTAGAAGGGTTAGGTGAAATGCTGATATTGCCTCTTTTTCGTGTCAAGAATTTTTTCTTCTACAAACCGTATAGACCATATGGGTGGATTTGACGCATGTGTCGATCAATTTTATGTGACAAAATCGTGACATAGTAAAACAAACTATTTTTAGATATCGATATAATTACAAGGCTTGTTTATTATTAAATCAGATGAAAATTGTGACAATATAGAATAAAAACTTGTTATTTCCTTTTAGATCGAGCCGCTATCAAGCCGCGGTTTCTAAATTAGGATATTTATTCAGCAAAATTATTGGCCAATTTAAAAAACATTCGAAAATATCACATTAATGAAATGCGTCAAATCCGCCCATATGCTATCATGATTCTTATACGTATGCCCTAATTATGTTTTATACTTTTTTATTGTAAAATTCTTTTATCACAAATTATGGGTACGTACGTACGTACGTACGTACCGTAAAGTGCCATATACAAAATCCCCACATTAGTAGACTCCATGTACGTACTATACTCGGATGCAAATTGCAGAATCTACAATAACCAAATGCACTCTTTTTTCAAATATATAGGCTGTCTGTTATAAATGAGAAGTATGCACGCACCATTACGGCACATTTGTAAAATACCCTAAAATTTAAATTTTATGACTACTAATATGTGATACTGATCTTTTATTATGTTTCTAGTTTAGAGTATTCAATAGTGGGAAGGATGGGCTAGACGCGTTATCGGTATAAATCAGAGATTAAAAATTTTTTTCAGGATTTATTGTTGATCGATTAAGGGTCCAAATACTTAATGAAACCTCCTTTTAGTAACACTAGAAATCAGAGTCCGATAAAAGTCTGAAGCGAAAAATCCGTATACAATGACTGCAGATCATCACGGGAGCCTTTAATTTTCGATTTTCATTGGTGGTTTCCGACAAACCTTGCATTCAAGTTTACTCAAACAGATGTGTTCTCGTTGCGTTTCGGACAATGAATAATCTATCACATACTATACCCGGGTTTATTATTCGTTTCAATATTGGTGGTAAGAACTACATTTATTTATGTACCCTTGGTCCCGGTTACAAACTAAATTATATAGCTTATTTTATTGGTACGTACGTATGTAACAGCAGATAGTCAAATGTTTGTAGTACGTACGTACATCGATATGGTTAGAAAGTTCTAGGGTTTTATTCCGATTCCAAATTAGGTATAGCATATCCTCCTATATTAAGTTTGGTACATAATCTCCATTGACATTTTTCTCCGTGATTCTATATGCGCGTCTATAAATTCTCTTGGGACATCCAAACTAATACGAATTAGGCAGTGTAAAAGCAATAGTCTTTAATGGAATTTGTGTTTGTATTTAATAACTTGTTTTCAAGCCGTTATTTCTGTTAACGAACCATGGCAATATTTACACATTTTTTTGCTCGAGTTCAAATTGGTTCTAAAGTAACGGCTCAATTTTTTTACCGTCATGCAAAATTTTGTGCTTCTCACCACATCTTTGTGATTGTTCTGGAAATCTTCATAATCTTACTTTTATGTTATCCCGCTTTCGATGTTTATTACTTGAATCCCGTCAAAAATGATAATCATGCATTTTTTTATGAGGTATCTCCATCTGAGCCACAAGTCTTCGAAAAAACTTTTGCTGACAACTGCGAAACTTGGCCTTTATTTTACGTAGAGCAAGTTATCATAAAGATAGCTAACTTAGGGGAAAATAACAAAGGTGTAAGTGCTAATGTTTTGGAAAAAAATTTACTGTTATGGATTTTAGGTTTGCAAGAAAGAATCGAGAATACTGTTATAAGAAATCCTAGTCTTTCCTCGTCAGTTGCCCCTTCGACTTCTATAAAATATACCCTTTCAGATATATGCTTTAAACCTTTTAATAGTACCACATGTTTGATTCATTCACCACTTGATTATTGGTCGAATAATGCCAATCGCCTTTCTTCTGACCCTTCTATCCAAAAAACTCTTTCATTGACAAACACAATATATCTTGGAAAAATTCATTCCTTTAAATTCTGTCTTTGGAAACGTCGTGTATGAGGGAAAAAGAATCATTAGTGCAGACTCGATAATTTTAACTTATTTTTTGAAAGAAATTGAAGATTATAACAAAGATTTGACAATTTCCATTTGGGAAGAGATTTGGAAACAGATTATAAACGATGTAAACACTAGCTTTTTCCTTGGTGATGATCCCATTAAAAGTGTAAATATGAGCAATCGAGGAGAATTGAAATATTTATTTTTTAATGTAAACAATCTTTTCTTATTTGTATCAGCATTATAACCTCATACTACAATTTTTTTTCTCGTATTAAAATCATAGTTTATTTTATAGTCGAATCGGAATGGTTCTTCGGAATTTTTAACCGAGTGGCTTTTTTTTATGCTAGCATACTTTCTTTTTTTCTTTTATATTATTCTCTCGTCCGGTCATCTTGACTTTGTCAAGTCTAAGTTTGGCCTCCTCTCCTCGGTTATGATTCAGATATTTGCTTCGTTAATTATGTCACTTAGCATCTGCTCTCTATTTGGTGTCACATTAACATTTACCGCTATATCTTGGTACGTATGTTTATCATGTGATAATATTTTCGTATATGTATGAATAATAGTACAATTTATTATTTCTCTAGGAAACTATTGCCTTTCGTTTTTATCCTGATCGGTATAGAGTATATGTTTATTTTAATGGATGCTATAGCAATGATCCCCACTCATCTGGATGTAAAGGAACGTATCGCTCAAGGTAATATATTCTCGAATAAGTCTCTTATTTGATAATTCCTATATTATATATTTCATATAATAGTATACCTTTCTTAGGTCTTGAAAAAACAGGGTATATTATTACAAAAACACTCGTAATTTGGCTCATATTGTTGTTGATATGCTCAGCGACAAATATAGATTCAATCAAAGAATTTTGCATTTTTACTTCAATCGCCATGATTATCACCTATATCCTACACATGTCATTTTTTGTAACGACTTTATATATTGATCTTAAAAGATCAGAATTGGAGGTATAATATATGTATTAATTGCATTTTTTAGTTAATCGTTCAATTAATGTTCCCCACAATGAATTTACTAATCCTTTGTTTATATTATTCTCTTTGAAAGATATTATTTAATAATCCCGTTAGTAATTCGAACAATGACACCGATACAAATGCTGTTCCACTTTTAAAAACAATTAATTATGGTCGTAAGATTAGTGGTTTATTAATTGTATGTATACATTTATTTTGCTTTGAATATTATATTTCTTTATACATAATCGAATATCATTTCTTCTGTAAAGATTCTCATATTCTTGGTGGCTGTGACAAATTTTCCATATTTTAAGTCTGCATTGGACAATCTAAATGGTAGTTCTGTGATTTCTTCTGCTACAAACATAAATATCACATTTTGTGGAACATCAATGGCCGTAACTACTGACGAATTTTGGGATATTATGAATCCAGATAAAAAAGATCAATATGCTATAATTCAACCTACTAGGGAATTGACATTATTTTATAGCACCGAACATGATAGTGACAGAGATACCTCCTATTCATTCGATAGTGATATAAATTGGAAATTCATTGCAAAGAAATCTTTAAAAAATTTTATTTTGTCTCTCAAATTTATTACAGTTCCTGCTATTATCCTAACATTTTTAGTATCTTTCTTGATAAATTTTTCATTACCGGTGGACCTGATAATTCGGAAAACAGGAAAATTAGTTGAAAAAGTTGAAAATAAAATCAACTTGCAAGTGTCTTCATCTTTTGGAGGTTCTGCTTTGTGCTTTGCCACACCTCGAGTTATAACCTTACATGGTCGCCATTCAGCCGATGTGGATTTACTTTGCGCAAATTATAATGGCATTATAATTTCAACTTCTTCTGATAGACATATTATATCATGGGATGGAAGGCAAGGCATACCATCAAAAAAACTTGAAAGATATATGCGCCGCTGTGAAACATGTAAATGTGACAGTACTGGAGGAATGAAAAATTGTATTACATGGCCGGTTCGGGCAATCTGCATGAGTGAAAAAGTCGATCTTGTCGCAGCTGGGTTCGATGATGGAGTGGTGCGAGTGTGGGATGTAAATTCAGGGCAAGTCATTCATATTTTAAAAGATACCGTTGAAGATATTGAGCAAATGACGCCAGCTAATACTTGTTCAACTAGTGAAAAAGTTGCATGTTTGCAAATTATAGTACCAAATTTATATTCCTCTTACGATACGTCTGAATCCATGTCAGACAAAAAAACACCTGCCATACTTTTGGCAACTTATCAAAATGGTTATTTTCGAGAATGGGATCTTATTTCTGGTCTGGTTTCCCATACAGTTTTCACCAATCAAAAGGGTGGTATCAGTTGTCTTTTTGTGGTTGAGAATAATAAGCAAAATTATATTCAAGATGAATTGCATATTTTTACTGGAGCACGGGATGGGTCTGTCAAGTGTTGGAACAGAACAGTTTATAATCCGGAAAATGAATCTAGTAGTAATAATTTATATTGTAGAAATATGTGGAAATTACTCTACACAATACCGGGAAATTTGGGAAATGCAATTACAAGTGTAGCTGCTAAAGTTTTCGAAAAGAGTTGCTTTGGTATTGTTGTTACTGGAGCTGCGAACGGAGAAGTTAGAGTATATGATTACCTCACAGGACAACCTATAGTAACTTTAAGTTGTGGAATTTCTGAGAAACACCAACATGAAAAAGAGTGTGTAGGACGATTTCAACGCAAATCATTTATTAATCAGGATTTGTCTGAAGAGTACGATTATGAGCTTCCAGACAAGGCTAAAGATAATGTCTCTCACAAAGATGCGATTACTAATATTATAATTCACAAACTTAAGGAAGAGTATTGTCCATGTGGATATACTGTAGAGAATGACGGTTTTTCAATTACAACTTCGTCGTTGGATGAAAAAGTATATTTTTGGCAATTAATCCGAAATACCATAAACTGTGCGTGCATGATTTCCAATGTAAGTAACCCTACTACTGATAATCATAATAACGAAGATGCCTCGGGACGATTTTGGAATGATGTAGTAACAAAATTTCTTGGGTGTGTGAACCAACCTGGTGGTACGGCAGTCGTGTTTTTCAGGGGAAATATATTTGGAGCTCGTCTTGTTAAAAATCCAAATGTGTCCATTAAAAGATGTCATGGTGCTGAAGGCGAGTGGGAAATTTGGATTTTGGAAACTCATTTTCTTGAACCGATTGAAAGAATCGATAGTTCAGGAAATTACGATGATATCGAATTTAAAATTCAAACTGTCCCATTGGTCAGCGAAAGTGATTTGATCATAGAAGAACAGCGAAAAAATAGAAAAAATAGATATAAACAATCTAATCGAGAAAACGCAGAAGAATTAAAAGGGTTTGTTAGGCGATCGAAAACTATCTTAACGAAAGGAAAATTCGTCTTAAATCCATCATTTCCTTTCGAACATCATAATCAAAATCATACATACGTTTACAATCTTGAAGGTTATATGCAGGGTCAAGTTGTAGATTATAGGCAGAGAAATAGAAAACGAAGCGGGAGCATATCAAATCGTGTTTGTCCCGATAACATTAAAAACGATCGAAAATCAACGTCAGAGGAAGACGAAATGGATGAAGTATTACCATTCTCTTATATACGACAAATTGTCAAAATGGGTGAATATGGAATAGCTATCACGTATGGCAATTTTATAAAAGTTATTTTGTTTGAGAACCTGAACGATGGATAGAATAAAGTTGATGATAAAATATAGTAACGTATAACATTATATGATGTAACTAGTCCTTGCTTATTTATCATTACTAAACGATCTTTAAAAATGCGTGATCATTTGACCAATCTAATACATATGTTAATAAATTCCTTAGTCGGTTTTCTTAGGCTATGAAGTGTCTCTCCAATGTAGAGATGTGACCGGATACAGTAATTCCTCTATATATACTTGCCGGAAAATTCAAAAATCGCCAAAAGGTTCAATTACTGTATATTAGTATGCTATATAATCAGCGGGACTTATTCCCATATGTTTTTTCTATGTGATGTAATTTGTTAAGGTTTCTTTGATCATGCAAGAATAAAAATATGCTATGTATTTAAAATTAATGTATATTCTACCGCTTTCGTATATTAACTAATTAGATTTATCTGTTATGCGATACTTTTCTTCACTGGGTTCAAAATGTTGTTAAGTAAATTTGGCGTTTATGAATGGTTTTATATATAAAAGAAAAAAGATTTTTATAGGACGACATAAAACATCTACTTTTTTATATGTATGGTGCCGGAAGTTTATACTCGACAATCACGTGAAAATTTTCAATTTTCACATGATTGCTATTGACCAGGGCCAGTGATTTTCTGTGGTGACAAAATCAAAATTATGTGGTGACAAAATTTAAATTATGTGATGTGATGTGAACCATATTTGCCAAATTATGTGCGAATCTGCAGTATACTTGGCCAAATTATGTGAAATTCTGTGGCGTGCTTACCAAATTATGTGCGATTCTGTGCTAAAATTTGTTGGAACTTTTCCGGATTTTGTTTCGAAAGAGTTTTCATGACCTTGCTCGTAATTTGAGTTCATTCAAATTCTACGTTTCTACGTCGGGAGATACTGGATCTGTTAAACTTTATCTATTGACTTGCCAATAAATTGCCAAATTATGTGACAATTCTTATAAATTACCCCATTATGTGCTATTCTGCGGTGATAAACACCAAATTATGTGATATAGGCATATTAATGTGAATTCTGTGGTATTATGTGAAACACAGAAAATCACTGGCCCTGCTATTGACCAATAAAATTAATATACTGCGTCAAAATACGGAAAACGTTAAAACTGGAAAAACTATTTGCAAACAAATATTTTTTAAAAAATCCATTGATAACATTACGTATGAAATTGCTTTACAATGATATCGGTTAGTTTTCTAAAAAAACTTTATCTATAGAATGTTATATTGATTTGAAAAAAGAAACAAAATTTCAAATCCCTATAACTCTTTATAGAATTAATTTTTTAATAAAAAAAACTGACCAATAATTCCGTAAAGCTAGTTCTGGGCAAGTCGTTTTTTTTAAAAAGAGGTTTCCTGTAAAATGTTTTAAAGTTTTTTTTAAAAAATACATATTTGGACGCAGTATGTTGAAATATATCACATATGGGCGGATTTGATTCCAAATGTGATAATCATGAAATTCACGCTGATTGGCTAATTTACCTTGTACAATACTAAAAAGTTTCGCAAAAGTGATACAACGCTTTTTTTTAAAACATAATGTAGTTTGATATTTCACGTTTATGTTCAACAAGGTTTTAGCTTCTCTGATCCTCTTCTGATCCTATTCACTTCAGAACTTTTACTAGTAACATTGTCAATGGGTAAATCACGTAAAAATACATAATATTAAAAGGTTTTGTAGCTTTTTATTGTTTGAATCGGTCGCAAGGTAACTTATTTATACACTTTAATGTACTTTAATAAGATACTTATCGTTATTGCTGCGTAATAAATACGTACAAATTTTACTTCATAATAATATTATTAATACTCATTATGTTAAACTGAAATACTAGTTAATTAGGTACGCAAAGATCGAAATCAGTTAACTAAAAACGATGCCAAAATGTTTAGGTAAGCTTCGAAGAATTTTTATAATATTGCTATATTACTGTATTATTAAATGAATTTAATAATGATGATTGTAATACTTATATCTTGTGTTGTGTAATTAATTTTATAGAAGTTAATTGTCGAATATATGTAAATGTTAGTT